ACGTGCCCCAGCTCGGGGCACCGGGCATGTCCGCATCCAGCACGGCACGGCCTCCGTCGGGAGACGGTATTAGAACGACCAAGGCCCCTTGTGCTAAGAACAATCGATGGGAGGGAAATCGGAGAACCCCAGGGTGGGCACAGACCTAGGAGCATCGAGTCCAGCCCCCTGCCCAAGGCAGGACCAACCCAACTCAATCAACCCGGCCAGGGCTGTGTCCAGCTGGGACTTAAACAACTCGGGCCACCAGCGCATCCTAGAACCACAAAGGATCAGGAGCCATCGCGTCCAGCCCCCGCCCAAAGCAGGACCGACCCAACTCAATCAACCCGGCCAGGGCTGTGTCCAGCTGGGACTTAAACACCCCTAGGGATGGAGACTCCACCCCTCCCTGGGGAACCCAGCCCAGCGCTTCCCCCCCGCCTAGGGACAGAGTTTGTCCTAATTTCCTTGAGCCCATTGCTCCTTGTTCTGCCCCCACTGAGAACAGCCTCCCTCCAGCCTCTCTGGAACCCCCCTTCAGGGAGGTGCAGGCTGCTCTCAAATCCCCCCTCGCTCTGCTCTTCTGCAGACTGAACAAGCCCAACTGAACCCCGCCTCCCCAGCCTCCTTGGAACCTCCCTTCAGGAAGTTGAAGGCTGCCATCAAATCCCCCCCCACTCTTCTCTTCTGCAGACTGAACAGACCCAAACCCCTCAGCCTCTCCGCGGAGGTCATGTGCTTCGGCCCCTGAATCACTTTCGTTGCCCTCCGCTGGCCCCTCTCCGATGCGGCCACCCCCTCCCTGAAACGGGGCCCAGGCTGGACCCCCCGCTCCAGCTGTGGCCTCCCCAGAGCTGCATAAAAGGGAATCATCAGGCCCCGAGATCTGCTGGCAACGCCCCTCCCAACGCCCCAGTGAGCGCTCAGCCTGCTTGGCTCCAGGGGCTCCCTGCTGCCTCCTCTCCAGCTTCCCACCCACGGTCGCCCCCAGGCCCTTCTCTGCCCGGCTCAGAGCTGCTCCCGTCCCTACGCTGCAGTGGGGCCCGGGGATTCATTCAATCCACAAGCAAGGGGCGACCCACGTGCTCCCGGAGCAGGCGCCAGACTGCCCCAGCCTGTGTCCGCTCCAGCCTCAGCTGGCCCCCGGCTCTCCTGACAACCAGCACCTGGGAAGGGAGACTTGGTTCCTGGCAGCAGCCCCACCCTTGGGCCCCTTTCCTGCCCCTCTTCCTTCCTAGCGCTCAGAACCCCGACGCGGGCTCCGAGAGCAACCTGCCGTGAGCCCCTGCCAC